ACAGTTTAACAAATTTGCATTTATTGGAATACCAATAGAATTTAGCAGAATTTAACTGAACTTTTAAATTTTAGTCACGCGAGAATTAATTTTATGTAGATTATTATCTGTATTCGACATGTCTTGGTCATTTTCCTCATCTGTTGGCAACTTTAGTGTTTCTCTGCCTTTTTAAGGTGGAATACGAAAATGAAAAGAAACTTTTTCACTTTTCCGAGACTCATCCAAATCAGAAGTAGCAATTTCTTTGAACGTGAAAATTCATACGAAGTAAAAAATTGAGAGGACTAAACTAGGCAGCGACATAGATCGTGATTACGAGATAAAACAGATAAGAAGATGAAGATATGCCAAAATGAGATGGAAAAGAAAATATCCGAGTAAAAATAAAGATTTCTAGAGAGAGAGAGAGAGAGAGAGAGAGAGAGCAGCATAAAATTTTTCTTTTTACTAAAAACAGAATAATTTTTAATGCATTTAATATTTTAAATATTCCGCAAAATATATCTAAAATTAATTAAAGAATACGATTTAATTATCTAGAAATAATTCAAAATCTATTTTTCTCTTGATTTTTTCTTAATTGAAAATAATTCAAACACTATTAAATTTTCGATAGTTTTGTTAATTTATAAACGATATTTATTAATTTATTATTAATCTATAAATTATAGTATTTTTTTTAGAAAAATGTTAATCTAAATTAAATGAGTATCATAATAAATAATTTTTTTGCAATTTATTCTATCTAATTTTAAGTTTAAAACAGTTATATATTTTTAATCATTTTTTAAGTTTTTTTTTCAAGTGTTATATATTGTATAATACTCTGTTTTTTTTTACCATCTTAAGTGATTTTATAGATATAGGTAATAAACAATACAAATTTTGTATATAAAACGATTTTTCAAAATCGTTAAGTAAAGCTTCTATGATATAAGCTAAATATAAATTTAACATTAACATGAAATCTTTAAAACTAGAAACTTTACGTTACGATTACGGATGTTTTCTGTTGTAAATATTATTTTCACAAATTGAAATGAAATCAAAAGCTATTTCAGTTTTCGATGAGAAATGTCGTCGTTTGAGTGCGATAGTTTCGAGTATTCTGCTGAAGGGAATAGTCGATGACGAGTGTACGTACTGGTGCTTTTGTTGCACCAATAAACAAATAAATAAACAGACGGATAAACGTGTTCGAATTTTCAGTCAGGATTTTAGTTGGAAATCGCGTATAGTACACACAAGACGAAGGCGAGTGGCTTAGCGAACATGCTGTTTTTACTTTGATAACCGGCTCGTTGAACGGAGAGCAATCGCGCTAAAACTATCTACATGGTCCGAGCAATCACGCTCGTACCGCCATTTGTGCCATTGCCGTTGCTCTTGTTGGAGCCAGTGTACACGCACAAAGCGCATGGATAATTAGACCGTGCTCCCGCTGTAGCAGCAGAGCAGCAATAGCAGCAGCAGCAGCAGCAGCAGTTGCAGAGCCGCTCACATTCTCTCTTTCCTGCAGCGTGTTGGTCAAAGTTTTACTCACGAGAGGTTACGCCCTGTGCCTGCTTGCTTTTCCTTGTCGTTCCTCTTCGTTTTGCATCCCTCACTCGTTTTCAAGGTGTGCTTCCTGTCCATTTTTTTCGAGTGTTACCGTAAATCTTTAACGGTGCTTTTACTTTATTTATTTATTTATTTGTTTTGTTCTAAAAATCGAGTCGAACAAATTTGACATCCCGTTTACGATGTATTCATGATATATCATGATGAATATTTAAAAAATTCTGCAACTCCACGTTTGCTTCTATTTTATTTATCATTTCTGATAATTATAGAAAAATAAAGAGAATTTCATACGATTGAGTTCAGAAATGTGAAATTGTTACAAATTGAGAATTGCGAAACTAATCTATAAACGTTTAACTAAACTGGTAATTATATTCTGATGTTTATAATACCTCAAGACTGTTTACAATAATTGTCTACTTACTGAAGTTCGATACGTTTACCATGTACCCGAGATTTACTTGATAAATTATGTTGCGCTCAAAGATATAGTATAAAACAACGATAGTAGTTAGATAATTTAAAATAATTTATATATTTTAGGAAATATAAGCAGTTATATATATTTCCTCAATAATGACACAAATTCATAAATATATTATACATGTGCAATATTTATATTTATTTATTTATTTATTTATTTATATTTATTAATATATATATATATATAGGTACATATATATATATGTATATAAATTATTGAATTAATTATAGATATATGTTTAATTAACAGTATACTATATGTATACGTACAAATATGTATATGTGTGTCGAATAATTGAATATTAAATTAACATTTTTATTGCTGAAAGCATATTTATATATGAATAGATGCACTAGCGTACTTACAAATTTTAGTTTTCTTATAAAAATAATATTGAGAGAGAAAAGAACATGTGTAGATACTTTATTTGCATATAATAATAAATAAGTCTTTGACTGTGACACTTAATTATTCTCGGTTTTATCTCAATCACTATGCAGCTTGCATACATAAAACTAAAATTTCAATGATATAAAAATATTTGTAAAAATGTCGCGTTAACAAGGAAAACTTAAATGTCATTGTTTTTTCTTTTAATTTTCGAAACGAGAAGTATGTCGTACCTCTATCGCCATTTCATCTATCAACTGAAATATTTATATAACCCACAAATTAGGCAAATTCATATTCTGAGAGCGCTGTCTCTGCGCAACGACTGATATGATAATCTCGAGTTCCGAAATTAGAGTTGTAATCACGTGGTCGTCTTTCTGTGTTTCCACGATCCTCGTATATGGGACGTTGAAAATTAGATGTCTTTTCCCGCATCGAGAGAGCATCCGACGATTGAGTGGCGAGCTTTCCCGTTGTTTGTAAACGCGCGATGGAGTGTCGCCTAATGTAAGAGAAAGTCTCTCATTTTCGGTGCACGGCACACTCGTGGAATCGGAAAGCGACCGTTACCGTTGCTACGAGAGACGCTGCGAAGGGAAGTGACTCTCGATCTGCAACTCGTCCCTCGTATCTCTCGAAAGTAGGGCGAGCCACGCCTAGCGAGGCGCGTGTTCTTGCTCTCGCAAACATCATGGCAAACACGACGGATCCGCAGCGAAACATTCTTCTTTCGTCTTCGCTCGAACATGATTCACGATCTGATTTTATTAGATCGCGCGGGCGCGCAGCTGTCGCTCTGCGAAATAATCATGAATTTATGATCGTCTACCAGATGTCGAGTAACAATGCGGCTCATTGCCGCATTGGAATGCAGCTGATTACACAGCCGAGATTAATTAATACTTTAACAACACAATGTAACTGTTGTTATGTCGATTTCGATTGACGTTACCACTGCTTACAAATCCGTGCGAGCAAATTGAGGTTTAACTGGCACGGTGGTTGGATATTAGAATCTTGTTTCCATTTACTTTGCTAAACTTGTCGGAGAAAAATGAGCGCCGCGCGCGCAGTATAGAATGATAATTTCGCTTTGGATATTTACAAAGGCAAGGAAGGATGTACAAGCTGTTCAGAAAATTACTTATCAATGTACATAAATCTGTGCTCAGTAAAAAGAAAAAATGATGAATAAAATTAATTGATAAAAATAATAAAACGTTACTTTAGCGATATGTATTATTTGACAGAAAAAGTAAGGCTCATATGTGTATAAATCCGTATATATATATATATATATATATATATATATAATTGATTTAACTATTTCATATATAATATCTAGATGTTCTATCGATTTTTCATCAATTTTAAATTTAGCATTTAATATTGTAATTTGATATTATTCTCTTGCTAACAGCAAATAAATGAAAATTGACATTTCTATATTTTGTTGATCTAATAATAAAAAGTATGTTGAAATCAATTTGTCTTAAACAAATTTATTATTAACTGAATAGATTGAGAAAGCATTAGACACACCTTACATGTGCATATACATTTATAATTTTTGTAGCACCAAAACCGACGAGAGATTAAAGCTTAAAGCGTCTCTTGTTTGTAACTTGTACTGAATAAGACAATATATTTATCATTTTATTAATTATTATAAACTGTTATTCACATATACTTACGAGTATATTATATAAATGTAAATATACATATTCGATACTACGTTTAATCTCGAACGTAGTATCGAGGTAGTAGACGGCAGTATACGGCCCCAGGACAAATAGAAACTCGAGCTAGCGACCTCTCTGCATAATGCATAACATCGTCGTCTTCTTCATCGTAGTCGTTGCAGTCGGTGGTCGTCTCCCGTTTCTTCGTTAGCCTTTTATCCTTGCTCGTACTTTCCCTTATTTATTCCAAGTAGTAGTTTTCTTCTACAAGAAGATATGCATATATAAGTTCTGCTTAAAAAGCGGGCATAAGACTCGTTTTTCTTATGTTCTGCTTTCTTCGTGCCATAAAGAATACATGCGTTCAATTTGTAGTATATATGCGGAATATTGTGCATATGGGAGCGAAACCAATTTTCTCAATGATCTGTTCTCTTTGATTCTAGAGCGTTTGCGCGACAACATTGTCAATAGACAATTATTGTGATGTAAAGAAGGACACAACTTTCGACTTTGCTACCAAGAAAACAAAATTAAATTAATTAATTATTAAAATATTTTAATTTTCGAAAAAATTGCAAGCAACAACCAATGTTATATTTCTGAAAGAAAAATTTAAATTGTGAATTTTTCTTTAAATTGTTTAGCATTCAATTTTTTTTCAATTGTTGGATTGTTAATTATTATGAGTTTAATAATATAATCTAAAATTTATGGAGAATAAAAAGATTAAGAAACGTTGAAATATTTTGCATTATAAAATAATGCATATAAATTGTATAACAACATGACTTTACTACTCTAACTAGTGTGAACTTTACGAACTTTGTGATATATGTACCTGCAGAATTACAGTCGCTGTTATATGATTGCAGGAATGACGATCAGTGGCAGCGATGATGAGGCTTGAAAGTTACCGTTGATTTGTCGGACATCCTGCAGGGCCATTTGTTTCCAGGATGAGCGCGTCGCTGCGGATTTTGGCTCTGATCAGCTTTGCCGCGCAAAATGTGGCTTGGCCACAGGATCCCATTCCTAGACTGCACCTCAAACATCGTGAGTAATATTTAAACAAGAATATTCGTCTCTATTATATTGTTCTAGTCAAGTGCAAACAACCAATTTATATTTCCATTTCCATTCAAATTCGATCTATCGTTAAATGATTCGTTTTAAGTTCTCTCTCTTTGCTTTTTTACATTTCTCAGAAATATGTAGATTTATATATTCCATTTTTTAATTCCATTTTTTGAAAGAAAAAAAGAAGGATTTTTTTTTTAATACAGATTTCAGAGGATTGATGGGAATATAGAATATCTTTACATGCATGCACATTTAAAGCACTCGAATTTTCTATATCTTATAGTATACAAAAATATCGATCTTTTGATAATTAGATAATATATTTCTGCAGTTCGTTATTGTTAGTTTCAATATTTACCACAAGGTAATCTCGTTAAGTTATTACCTTTGTCACAGCAAATTGAATTGGAAACTATCGTAGAATTAAGTGCTATTTAACTAATTTATCGCTCTAATTTTAGCATCGAAATTATTTGCGACGAAAGATTAAGAATGTTTGCTCAAGTTATAGCATCTCTGATTAAAAAATTATACTAAGTGAGAAAACATATTTATCATTTCATTACTTTTAATTCGTATAGAAATAAATTTGTAGAAACTAATGAGGAAATGATAGAAGTGTCTCAAGCACTTACATTTTAATATCAACGTTTTTTTATTATCATGAAATGATAATAAGTATGGTAGACGCGCCGGCAAAAGCAATTATCTAAATTTCAATATCCGTATCTTTGCTGCAAAACTCAATAATGGTCCATTACTAAATTTGGCTCGACGTGATGCCACACGACGACCTTTTGCGAGACGGAATTTAATAAAATGTAGCCACACTTTCGCCACGCTATTTTATAGATTTATCGAGTTACTAAATTGACGGTAGCCAGCCTTTCAGAATATACATAGGCGTTCAATTAAAATTAATCTAATTAATCAATCGAAGCGTCGATATAGTCACACTTTACGCGCTAACCAACCGCGAATTTATCGCGCACCATTACCTATGGCAGGCGATCACTTTCCATTCCGCTAAAAAAGCAACATAATGATTCCATCATTATGTTGTAGATAAAAATTTGTAAGCCTCTTCTTGTCTTATCGATATCGAATCACTTCTCTCTCTCTCTCTCTCTCTCTCTCTCTCTCTCTCTCTCTTAATAAAAAAAATATGAACTTATCTTTTCTTCTCTCATTTCAAGCAGATTTTAACAATATTTTTATTTAATAGAGAGTAGACTTTATATTAACCTTAATAATATAAATATTAAGGAGTCTCAATTTGACAATTAATTTCAACTTTCTGCTGCGGAATAAGTGTTGATTTTAAGTCGGGTATGCGGAAATTTCCTCATTTTTACATAATTTTCATTTTTTAAAAAGATACATTTAAAACAATATGGAAAGAAATCTTTTGATCCAATTATCTTTTATATTCCACAAAGTTATATCTGCAAGTGCATATTATATAAAATAGTCTCAATCCAAATTCGCGACAACCACGTATAGAAAGTTTTGAAATTTATTCCAAGTGGGCGTCTTCTTCCGAGTCTTTCTCGAGTGACCGAAAAAAAATTGGTTAGAGTGAACTTAAAGAAGGATAACATAGATAAGAGCCCTATCCACTCTCGGTAGCCGTTTATCTCTTGGGCAATCTTCAACGTGCTGGTTAAACCACGGCTTAATTCTCATTCGTATAAGCAGAGGAAGGTATACCTATAGAAGAATCGTGAGAACGGTAGCGCGGCGACGGGAAATGGTTTGTCTCGTCTTCTGGATCGCGACGACCCGGGTTATTCTGTCCCTCTCCAAGAGGTCGCATTCTGTGCCGGATAGTCGGTGACTTTCATACGTGTCTCCTACGGTGCATTCACGCGCTGTCGACGGTCGCTCTACTCATTCAAAGGCACTTCCGCGCGATGTGAGCACCCTAAAGCAACCGCACCTGTGGATTTGGTTGTATGGCGCGACGAACCTTCTCCAAAACGAGTAAAACGGTTAAGCTAAACATAGACACACGCGGGGTAGTATTGTATGAGCGAAGGACGAGCAAAGGAAGACGTGCCTAAATGCAGGTTTCGGCACGTTCCGGCGAGACAGCGCGATGCAGATAGTGAGATGTATCAAATATTTCTGAACGTAGGTATATTGTTTCGTTTTACCAAGATGAAAACTTAATTTTATAGACAATAATTGACTTCTACAATAATTGACAACCGTGATTGGTCAATTTTTAACTTCTCGCTTCTGATTTATGACTAATGGCTTATTGTAGAAAGCCCATTAAAATTTAAAAGAAACAACTTCCTCTTCAATCGCGTGTCTATATAGATCGTTTTTTTTTAAACTGTGTGCTTATTTTTCGGACAAAATCAAATTTGTCACTTAAAAATTTATTCGAAATTTATTCGCCGAAAAAACTTGATATATATAAAGGTTGTCGCCATATAGGTTCTCGGCCATAGGTCGCACGCGTCGCTTTTTATCGTAAACAAAGATACAATCGATAATTTCCGTCAAATCGGGGATGACGGCTTTTCGGAAGTTTACCCGAGCGGAAGGTAGAGAGGGAGAGGATCACACGCCGCTCTGCGGCGGCGAGACAGCGCGATCGCAGCGCGGGGGTTAACGACCGTTGAAAATTCGCCGTGTCGGTGGTGGATCCGCCTCGAAGCTTTTGACGCGGATCAAATATTGGCGTGTGTCCTGTCGATCGGCTCGCCCACGCCGCGCCACGCCGCGGCACGGCGCCGCTTTGGTAAATCCTATTGAGTATTCAATTACGGTAGGGCAGCGAGAGGAACGGGGGTTACATACATACATACATACGTAGTTAGTCAGCCAGACTCGTTCGAGATGAAATTGAGCGCTCTCCCGCGTACCTAGTGTACCCTTCGCGTCACAAATGTCAGGAATATCCTGACCTAAGAATTATTTTTAGAGCCGCGCAAACTGCGTCGGACGATCTCGGATTATCGAGATTGCTTATTCGATTAAAATATTAAAAGGAACAAATGTACTAGCTTACGTGCTTAATAGTATTTGATTCGTGAAAAAAAATATATAAATACATGAAAAAGATTCGCAAAGATTGCCTAAATCTAAACATATATATTTTACATCAGCGGGATATTAACATGTCATTACTTGTAAAAGACATTAAAATGTCCGTATATCAAGTCCGTTATAAATCCATGCGAATCCATGATAGTGCATGCGTGAGGATGTCTTCGAGCAAGTCGCGTCTAACTACGTTCGATTGGAATGTAAGTAATCTCGAGGCAGGGTATGTAGGTTAACCATTTGCTACGAGAGACGGAAGCCATATACTCGACTGGTTCTCGCCAAGAGTAAGCTCGTTAGGACTCGGAAGAACTTTGTTAAGCTCCGAGACCGCGTCAACAACGGCAGTGTGTCTGCATTCGAGTCCGATGTGTGTTCTGTGCACTGCACACTGTGTGCGTTAAGTTTGCGTGCACTAAGAAGAGCCATCCCTTCACCGCGCCTTGCACCTCGATCGAACCTTGAATTATTCTTCTGGCGTTCGATGTGGATATAGGATGTAGGATATAGGATTCGAGCTTCGACTTCGAATTGGAAGTTCGCTAAGTAGCGTAAATGTACCGTAAACGATAGCTCGATATAACGTATCCTCGTCGGGCATGCCGTCGGCGATTCGCTAGACCGACAGCTAATGCAATTTTATTCCTCAAAGTGTGGTAGCGCAGTAAAATTTATTTCTGGTGAATTGAGCTAAATCGCTTGGTTAAATTAGCAACGGAAATGTAAATTTTTATTGTCCATCGTCGCCGGTTTTTTTTTTTTTATTATTATCACGTCGAATTCATTTTGCGGACGTAATGAGTTCTGGAATTTTTATTAAATTGAATTACGTTACGTTTAAACATTGTTTCTTTTTAAATGCAATAATATTAATTATTGTTAATTCACTCTATAAACATATTTCTTTCTCCCTTATATACATATACATTTAATTTATCATTATAAAAAATATATGTGACGTTTTTCGTAAGTTTCGGTATAATATTCTATTATTTGTGTATTTATCATTATTTAATATTTATTTGTATTTTGGAAAAATTTTTTTATAATCTTATCTTTCGTGACAAGAAAATTTCCAAATTTTCAGATTTTGAACATTTTCATTTTCAAATTTAATCCATAATGTATTTATTGCTGCTGCTATGTGCATATATAGACTTTAGTATGTCATCTATTTCAATGAAAGATGCCAATGAGTTGCTAAAACATGTTACATACTATTCTAACGTCATATCTGCTAACAACATATTCTGTCAACTGTGTTGCGTTACTAATCCAGTTGTATTTTTAAAACACATTTAGAAGCGTATATACTTAGAAATTCATGCAGTACCGTAACAAAAATAATCTTAAGGAAACGTTTTTTTTTAAGGCGTCATCTCTTTTTTCTTTATTTATTGTTTTTATAATATAAATAGAAAGATAAATAAAAATAATGAAGATAATTTTTATGATAAAAATAAATAGTTTATTCAAGCTTAAATGTTTTTGAGCTATGAAACATCATCGAATCAGTAATCTACCGATTGTAAATCTAAATATTTCATGAAATCATCGCAGTTAAATCTGTAGTTCATATTCATTTAATAATTTCATTTTAATTTGAATGCTAAACGTTATACGTATACACATAAAGGATAAAAAAATTGATGTAATAATTGCACATATAGCTTGTAATATTATATGTAAATTAGATTTTGCAAAATAATTTATTACAAACTTATAACTGCTTGTTTAATTCAAGGGTTTATTGATTAATTCAACGAAATTTTTTATCATAATATTAAAATTTTAATCATTATATCTTTTTTTACTTTCGATTAGTTAGTTGGAATAAGTTTGTTTTATTTTAAAGTATTTTCTAGCGCAATGGAAAAGAATATATATTTTGTACATGCTGAATTTGTTTGATAAAA